AGCTACAATTCAGTTGCCAGGTATAGCACTTCAAGTTCCCTTTCCGTCAACCGCTCGATAACCTTGAGAAACGTGCAGCAATCCACAGCTTTGAAGTCTCATTAGTGCTTTGAACTTATATGGGTGTGTAAGACGCTATGCATTCACAGCTGCACGAAGCTACAACACATCGGCCTCGGTAAAACTACACCTTACCATGCACATGATGCAACTGCAAGAAATCGTATTTCTTACATCACCGCCCGCTCAAAAATCACAAACAATCACCTCCAAAACAGCCTCCAAAACCTTGCTTCCGCGCACCCCTAAACACCACCTAATTTCGATTTTACGTAGGGGTTTCTCGCACCACCCCCCCCAGACCCCCTACTAACTCACTTCGTTCGCCAACACAACTCAGCTGGCGCCTTCTACGAAGGCTGGCTTTCGTAATATATATATATATATATTCTTCTTTCCGCATGCTTGGGGATTTTGACAGGTACCAGTGGACATCTAGTTACAGCCGCTGCATACCGCATGCCGTCAGCTCACCAATGAAGCTGATCCAGACGAGCGTCGGAGTGAGGATGCTCATCTCTGTATGTGCTTGGTTTTGTTGCTTTGTCCGGAATATCTCTTGTTCTAAGGGAATCCGGTGAGACTCTATAATTAGGTCCTTCCTTCCCCTCCCCTCCACTTGTTCGTTTCGTGTTTGGATTTTGATCCTAAAGTGCGCCGTGTCCTTGCAGTAATGTATTTTAGATATACGCGCTATCAAAACAACCATGCTGCTGATCCCATGCTGCTCTTCCCTTACTCCTGCGTGTGTCGGGGGAGGGGGTAACCATGCATTCAGGGGTGACGTATGCGTTTGCATTCGCTGCTTACAGTAAATAGCTTTGCCTTGAGAAGTTTGTTTTGGTGATATTGGAGGAAGCCCATCCATGGACTGTGTGCGATAGTCCAAGCAAGCGACCACAGTACATGTGAATATCAATTTTGATCGCGTGCACCTCCTTTGTCAATCACTCTAGATTTCAGCTGTTTGAGGTGTGATCAGCAAATAGGAATTCTGTCGCAGGACTTTCAAGTTCTGGATCAGAGCTTTGAGACCGGTGCTTTGGCATTTGAGATCGTCTTTTGAGAGTGTGTTCAAGTCTTGTGGAATTGGCACTCGTGGCACAACAACTTCTTTGGAACTAGGATCACTAGGATCTTGGCACTCCGGAAATTGGAGAGCTAGATACCGCTACATGACTCAGGCAACCTTGATCACTTAAGCTTGCGGCCTACCATCTTCCCTTTTTCAGTATCTCAGTGCAATTGAATGATAGTCTAGGTGCACTCACTTGCTTCAAGTGCTTGTGTTTATGGTCATGCGTGGAACATGGTGCTCAATGTTTAATGGTCAATTGCATGCCAGTAGGCCAAATCGTGACCTAGCGAGAAAGCAAGTCGATTGGACCAGCCACATCTTCACATGCCTTACCTTCCCTCCCTCCCAGTGTTTAGCTGCGTCGTGCACATAACAGCTGTGGACAGCTCTTGGCAAAGCCCTGCTTCACTTCTCGCGGCCTGCTCTCCAGATCTACTTGAGATGATTCAGGCGGTTGCTCGGCTCGTGCTTTTCGAACACGCCTCACGTTAGAGCTCTCAATCTCAACATATTCATTTGAGCGATGAGTTTCGGAGTTTTTCGTATCTGACAGTGGAACACCTAGGACCTAGGCTGTCCAGAAAACAAATTTCACCCTGGAACCCGGTTACTCAGAACAGAACTCCCAACCGGAAACAGTTTCAGTCGCCCACAGTTGGCGGAACCCGAAACAGAAGGGCATTGGTTGCCCCCCAAACAAAGGGGCGCAATTGACTGGGGACATCCAAGAAATCTCTGATCTGACATTCCTGACCGAAAACTGCAAACAATCAGTAGCAGCATCATTTGCTGAAGGGCCTCCGAATTTTCTCAAATTACATACAGAACAATGACAAGGATGTTGGCTCTTAACGACCGATAGACACTGAAGTAACTTTGCTTTTACTCTTGGGGGCAGGCAATCCCCAGCAATACCTACCATAAGCATCCATAAGCCGACCAAATGCCGACTAAACCCTACTCAACTCACGATAATCCACCGATGCACATTATTGGCCTAGCAAGACTTAGCTACTCAAAAAATACATTTTGTAAGGGACCCCAACACCCACCCACACCCAAGGCTGCCCCAGAATTCGTTTCCAAAACAAAATTTGGGCGTTCAACAATTGTTGAGCCAGAGTAATTAGCGAGAGACGCTTGGATAAACCGCAGTTAAACTTCAGTGGTGAGGTTCTATCTCGGCCTTTCAGAAGCTGAATTCCCACTGGGTTGCCCTGGCGCGTTGTCGGGACGCTGGTTTTGAGCTTTATCCCCGATGTTGGCAATCTCCCCAACGAGGTAGGCCACCTGGCCCAGTAGATTTCCTCTGACTTTCCTCCCTTGCTTTGAACCAATGTGAACAAAGACCATGCCTCTCGGTCCCACTCTGGTGTTCCTGGAGTGTACTCATCTCGAAGGCGCCTGGAATGAATGGAGTCGTGTCAAAGACCGATCAGATTTGTGCCATTTCGCCGAGTTTTTTAGCATGGCACCTTTTGATCTCGTCCATGATCTCATGAGGCTCCTGAACAAATACATTTGTCGGCTGCTCAACCCAAGCTTGTATCTCTAGTCATTTCACGTGCAGCTTAGTGAGTGATGCTTGTTTGGCGTTTTCAGTCGGAGCTGTGTAGAAGAGTTTTCTACAAACACCCAAAGCCCAAAGCTTAGAAATAAATGAGTATGTCCAGAATGGGTCTATTTGTGCAATGGGCTTTGTAAACTTCAGGCACCTCAAAGTGTGATCCTTTCTTCAGGCAAGGCTAGCACTTCTCCTACTCCTGTCACTAGCTGCCTGCTCTAGGGACCCTAGGGCCTAGTATTTCCAAGCTACCTGGCCAAACTCGCCATCTGGCTTGCAGTTTTAGAGCGGATGCTGCTTTCCTAGTTTCACTCTCCAAGACCATGCGACTGGACAAGGAGTGGATGTGCACTTAAGCAAATTTCCCAAGCTTGCCTGTGACTACAACCAATCGACACGCTCGAGCCGTAACAACCACATCAGTGATCAACACACCTCCTGTCGCCCCTGCCCCTTAAAGCCAAACAAAGCGATAGCGAAGGGCAACAGTAAACAGCGTTAACCATTGAACACCGTGCCTTGTAGATTCTGTCAATGATCAAAACCAGCCTCAGCACACCATATACAACTGGTCCATCATCCTCTTAACCTAAAAAAACATGCAACTGGAGCTGGCGCGCTGCGGTCGTAAGATTCGAGACTGCAACCCCACGGCTCTTAAGCCAAGTACTGATCATTCAAAACATCCCGAGACTCGAGAAATTGCCTGCGCTGAAACCAAGTTGACAATGAATATCAAAGCCACAGTGAGCAATCCGCTTTACTTGTCAAGCACTGCACCAAGATTCACTGGGAAAGCACATCATAACTCCATAGCAACTATTTTCCATCACATGTTCAAGAATCAAAAGCAAGCTCAAGGCTCCGCCTATTTTTGGCTTGGCCTTCAAAGCCATGACTCTGTCCACACTACTTACTCTTTCCGTACATTGTCCTTTCTCTCGCTGCAGCATTCTTAGGCTACAAAAACGTTCTCTTTGCTCTCGGCGGGCATCCGGCAAACAGGGCAACGCTCCAGAGATTCGGCGCAGACCGCGCAGGCACAAACGTGGCGACATGGGCGTAGCAATACATTCCTCGCTGCCTCAAGGCCTCAATTGGTTGAACACTGCAAAAATGTTCCGAGGATGGCAATGTTCGGCTGCAACCAAAACCTATATTGTGGGGTACATGCATTTCTGCCACTGTTTGTCGGAACCCGTTTTTTCCCGTCTTTCAGATTGATCACAAAGTCATTAGTCATTAGTGACTCAGTGGCGGCCTTTTGCGAGCTTATGAATTGGTGGAACTAAAAGCTCCGTCTGAACACTCATTGCCAATTGAACCCTGTCCTATCCTATGAGCCATTCTTTTCTCCCAAGCTCTTCTGTATGAACCTCTGTGTTAGCTGAGATGTGCTGTCGGACACCGGACAAAAATCTGAATTAAGGCTGGGATCCGTAATTGCACTGTGCTTGGCAATCAAAAAAAAAAATTGGGCGGATCTATAAATGCCCGTGCAGGCACGGTTTTGACAAGCACAACAAAACCAAATAAAGCCCGAGGCGCATATAACACAAGCCACAGCATCACGAACAGCCTGGGCATCTTCAACGTTCGCTGGAGCCGCATCGATTCTATCAGAAAGGTCAGACCACTTCAGCTGATCCACGCGGAAGAATCCCAAGAAGCACCCCCAGCGCTCTGCAGAACGAATCATATTCTCCGTGACGCCCTGAAAAGCTGATGGGAAGAAATCAATCGGGGAACCCCCTCCCATCCATCCCTGCAAAGCATAGATTTTCTGATAGATGGTGGAAATGCACTGGTCAGCTATCAAAGGTGCAGGCAACAAAGAATCCAAGGTGTCAGCAACAAATCCAACTAAGATCTGTTACCACAAGCCCTGCCCAACACAGCCATCCGACTAAGACGACACCTCCCTCGGCAACTAACCAAGGGAGGGTTGGGTGGGAAAAACAACGAGGGATGATTGGAGAAGAAGTGGGAAGCAGTCAATGCTTGGACTGATGATGGAAAGAGAACAAGCAAAAAGTGAGGAAAGAAGGAAACAAGGGTGGCCCTTAACATCCGCTGTCAGGGATCTCTTGGGGGGTTTGCTTTTGTTTTGTTTAATTCCCCGCAGGGTTGTTTCCAACTAGCGTGGCTAGGGGTTGTCTTGCTTCGTTCGTTGCGGCTTCATCTTGAAAAAGCTGGAGGGTGTTGTGTGTCTGTCTTACCCAAGTGGCGGACAATCTCCCAAGAAAAAGGCAACAAACTCCTGCACAAATAGCTCCCCTATCCAAAACTGCTTCATATATTCTTTGTGGGAGTGTCACACCAAGAAGGGTGCAATTGTTTTCCAAGAATGGCAGGGCCTGCCCCCCAGCTTATGTTTCTTACGTACTTAGGGTCGGTTTTGTCGTCTTTTCAAACAATTGCTGGCAATTTTCGTGGTGGTGGCGGGGGTGGCGGTGGCTGTGGCACTGGCGCTGGCGGTGGCGGTGGCGGTGGTGGTGGTGGTGGTGCATCCGCCGTTGGTGATCCTAGAGTCTCTTGTATATGTGTGAAACGGTTTTCGTGTACATGCGACTTCCACCCTTTTCTCTCTACAAAACGAAAAAAACTGATGCTGGGATATGCTGGGCATGTGACATTTGACCCCTGCCACTCTTCAAAGTAGATGCAATGGGGAATACAAGCAGGCCATGAGTCAGCAAAAAGTCTTCAAGGTCATTCAACAATCGGAATAATCCAACATGCTCTTAGCACGTTTCGGTCATTGGTTTCAATCAGGAGCATCTGTTGTTGCTGACCACGTGCCTTTCCCAGCTTTGCTCGATCTGTCCGTGCCAGTCTTTGCAAAATGGCATTCATCTTCAGCAGCTGTTCAAAGATGTTCACGTCGTTCCTTTGCAGGAAGAATGCTTCGTTGAGTCACTATGCGGTTTTTTGTTGCAGCTACTACAGAATACTGACTAAGTAGATCCGGCCAAGCTTCTCACTCTGAGACAAAAGGTCTGAATCCTGGAGAAGCCAAAAAAATGATAAAGTCGTTCAACTTGGGCCTGTTTGGATCACCTGTCCGCTTCCCTGGACGGAAGCTAGTCACAGAAACCCAAAGCTCCGGGATGGCAAACTTCGTCCTCAAGCGCTGCAAGACAGAGGTTCCCACCTCACGTCCTCTCTTTGTTGAGAAGAATGCTCTGGGATCGGAAGGATAGGCCTCAATAACGGCAAAGCCCCTATTGGAGACTTAGTAGACTCCAGACTTAGTGGGATTTACCAAAAGCATGTCACATCACTTTTTCATTGAGCCAAAGTTGCATTTTGGAAATGGAGCAGCTCTCGGTGTGCCTCGTTCTCGTCAATGACAGCTTTCGCTCGAAATTGAAACTTGATATCTTGTCCAGTGTGTCGATGTAGGCGGTCCATGACGCGACATCTGTGTTGCCCGTCCATGACATAGAAAATGTGACGAGGATCGTTCAGCAAAATCAGCAGGTTGATCTGCCCGAAGTCTTTAAAATGACCATGCTCTGCAAGCTCGTCGAGATTTTCTCTGAAACGAGCGTCCACCACATCATCATTGATGGCTCGATTGCTGTTCATGGCTTCAAACCTGAAAACATGACGCACAAGAGCCCTCAAAGATCGGAATGATGATGATGATGATGATGATGATGATGGCGGCGACCACGGCGACAACAATTATGATGTACATGGAGACGCATTTACCTTCGCCAATCTGTCAAGAAACCTGCAATTAGATTCTTTGACATGACTCCACTGTAGAAAGCCAGTGTATATCCTTCTCTCAGCATCCTTGACCACCAAGCCATTCTCAACTCCACTCTGCAGGATCTCCACCTACATTGCGGTAAACGCTTCAATCTTCAGCTAGAACAGTCTTCTCAACATTCTCAACATCTTAGTTGATCTGTCCAAGCGGCCAAAGGAGACTCCATGGTTGCACCGAGTCGGCGTCGCACCCGGCGTTCGCCATCCATTTCCGGCTGATGCATCAATCGAAAGCATCCCAACTTTTTGAGTGGCCAAATTCTTTAGTCCCAATGAGCCCACTCACATCGAATAGGTGTAAACACGAAGGGTCTGGTAGTGGCAGTTGAATATGCCATTCTCATGTGGGTGTTGCTTGAAAGGGTTTTACACTTGTCTGAATCAAGCTCTTGATCTCCAAGCCGCAGAATAGAAAGGAACATGGCTCTGGTTCCCCAATAACTGCAGCCTTTGAGTGAATCGTGCAGTACCCTCATGCTTCTCATTTCACACTTCTGTTCCAAGGCTTTAGCCAAGGAAAAGAAAAAAATCACTTGAGGCACCTCCGTTGCAAAGCATGACGACCACGCTGTCCTCTGTGCTTGGGCCGCTCATGGTCCTGCAAAACGGGGCAAGCAGGCTACTCACCCATGGGTCTAAACAGCAACGGTGGACCACTTCTCTATTGAAATTATATAGCTATATATAATTATATAAGCATCAATTGAAAGGGTCAGGCACCATCGAGTTATATACCAAGAGCATGTCAGGCTCCTTGCCGTGGCAAAATGAACAGGTAGCTGCGTGCTTGCACGAGTCATTGGGCCTACCAATTGCCACTGACGCCGCTGTCTGTGCACAAACTAGAGGCAAGGCGGCGAATGAGCCTCTCTGGTTTATATTTGTTGCACGGCTTGCATCCAATTGGATGACCCAGACTGCCAGGATTGCCTGAGCACGTCCGCAAAAAGATACTAAAGCATCTTCAGGCATTGACCAAATGAAGGTCTTGGCAATAGATTTGCGGAACAAATGATACTGAGAAAAATGAAACCAATCAATAGCCCTTTCAAACTAGAAATAATACACAAGAGAAAAGAAAAAAAAACATGATATCCTTTCATTCAAGGTGCGAGGGTCTTCGGGATTCACAAGAAAGGGTTCCTTCTTTTGAGCATAGCTACTCCTCGGTTGCAAGGCAAACAATGCAAAAGCAAACAATGCCTAAGGAGTACAAAGGAAGTAAAGCAGCAGAAAAATCGCTCCCTGCTTTCTGCGGGCTTCTCCATTCGGAGGTTCAGGCCTTCATTTGCCTCATATTTGGTCGACATGTCTTGATTTGCCCAATATCTGAGCTTCCAGGCATCAGCAATACTCCTCAGGCACAACTGCATGGCAAGTCGAAAAGCCCAAGAGAGCAATTCAAGCAAAAGCAGAGAATCAAGAAGAAGCCCTGCTCTTGAATTGCACCTTTTGTGGGACTTTCTCACGCACTCTCTTCGTTCGCTCCTTTTGGTTTCTGAGTTTGTTTTTGTCTCCTATCCGGTCCGCAAGTCTCTTGTTTGTCTCTTTCTGAGTTCCTGGCATCACCAATCTCCGCAAAGGGAGGGAATACATTTGAAAAAAGTAGCCCTTGACTCAAGGCTGCGGAGTCAGGCTGAGGGTGAAGCTCTTCAGAACATCCGCTGAATCTCTCGCGCTTCATGCGCTGAATTTCTCATGTGCGACACAACGTAGAATGGAAAGAGAGCGGGTGGTCATGGGGCCTGGGTTTTGGTTTTCCAAAAATAAATTAGGTAAATGCTTCAGTGGCAGCCCCTCTCCATATAAACACACAAATAATCTATTCCTGCTCTCTCTCTCTTTATGAACAAATATATTCCTGAGTCAGGGTCATTTTATTGTTTTGGAAGCAGCAATCAGTCATTCAGATGGTTTTGAACAAGATAATTAGGAAAGAAGCAGGCCATAAAAGTGTTTATTTTCGCAATTGTCCTCTAGATCTCTGCTTATAATTATGTTTAGATTTGGAAAGATTTTATATAGACACGTTTCTGCAGATAATATTTTTAGATTTAAACAACTATATAGAAACCTTGTATGTTAAAAGCTTTCTTCTAGATTTCTGCGGGTAGGAGCTTGCATATATCCCATATATGTGTTTTCATGAAAGAAAAGCTCTTGAAAGAAAAACTTATTTATTGATATATAGCATGTTTAAATTGACATGACCATTTCCAGAGATCCAGAGGAAAGCTTTTGAAATGAAAACTTTTATATATTTTCATTGTAGAAATGATCATCCTTAGAGATCTAGAGCGAAGCTCTTGAATTAGAAGCTTGTACATAAAACATGAACATGTCTTTATTGTTTCCAGTGATTACTGTAAATATGTAAGTCTAACTATTTACTCTAAAAAAAAGTTTTAGTCTTGTTCCCAGCACAGGGAAAATATATACTGTAAAACACGCGGTTTTGTAGCATGTGTTTTCTTAAACTAAATAGACTAGAGCTAGCATAGAATTATATAGGTAGAATTAGGATTTGACTTAGAGCTAAGATAGAACTGAATTAAAACCGAATTTCAACTAAACTTGTATTGAACTACAACTATAACCTATTTAAAATTAGATGAGAGTTGAATTAGAAAGGAATTGGAATTAAAACTAGAAGTTCGCCAGAATAAGATGTAAAACGCTTGAGCTACAAGGTGCACAAGTCGAGGAGGTTTCGAAATTACAAAGCCGAAGCAAAGCAACAAGCATTGAATTAGAACTACAGCTTACATAGATTCATAACAGTTTCATGTAAATTGGAAGGTGTCATTACAGTTTCATGTCAAGCTGGACATGCAATTGGCAACCACATTGATACCAATCAGAAGTTAATGCACAGACTTGTACATGGAGATTTCGACAAGGACAAAGGGAGTGTTGGGCTCAGATGCTTTCATTCTAAGAACAAAGAACATATGCCTTTAGGTGAGACTTAGGCTCACATGCTTGAAGGTTGAACGAAATAGTAATAACACAGATTGACCTAAATAGGAAAACCAAAAAAAAAAAACTTGAGAAAACCAATAACAACCTAGGAAAAAAAGAACTGGGAAAACAAAAAAAAAATGGGGAAGTCTTGAGGAAAGGGGGGGTTGAGCCAAGAGTCTCTGAGAAGTGTTGTGTTTTTTGTATTTTTTTTGGCTGTCTCAAGGTTTTTTTGGTCTTTTGTTTTTTCCTAGGTTGTTATTGGTTTTCCCAAGGTTTTGTTGTTTTTTGAGCTTTTTCTAAGTTGTTGTTGTTTTACTGCAAGTTATTCAGTGTTTTTTGTGGTTTTGATTGTATTTGTTTTGTTGTGGTTTTGATTGTATTTGTGAAAAGACAAATACAGAAAACCAAAAACCCAGGCCCCCATGGCCACCCCTTCTGAATGGAAAACACCCTCAAAGGCACAAAACATATGTGGAAATGGACGTAAGCAGGTTGGCAATCCAAACACAGTGAGGTCGGCTATATGATAGTTTGTCCAGCTGCATGCTGCATTCCTACTTCTTTGCCAAGAATGACAAATCTGAGTTTATGGCACCGTCTGGTGCACTCAACATTAACATCCCAGATTGTCCTTCGGACCAATGGGAGGCAGATCTGCTGTCGATGCATGTGAAACTTATCTGGCGCCACGGCGCAAAACGTGCACAAATCTTGTCGTCATCTCATGATCTCACTGCCAAAAGACACATCACAGCTACAATGGTGGCCTCAATACAAAAATGAAGAATGAATTGACATGTGACATGAACTACATTGACCATCAAATAGGCATCGTACCGCGCCACATCCAATCTCCTTTCCGCGTGCTTAGCCAAGCAGCCAAAGAGGTCTGAAAAGATCCGTTGCAATCCACGTCGCAAATCAGGACTTCTACCTGACAAACTGTGGACGCGGACGAGTCGTTGAAAGCCGTCATCTCGTTCAGCCTCTGAAGTTCCATCGACTCCAATTACACCAGAGTCCTCGCGCAAAGGACGACACCAATCGCCAGTCTTCTTTAGGTGTTCCTAGTCTTCTAGAATCCAAAGCCCTGTCCTTTGCCGTTGTGAGATCCCTGAAACGCAAAACAAGCAAAATATTCAGAGATGGTCACAGGAAAGGTCACTTCCACATAGAAGCTCATATTCATGAGCACAAGCAATAAAAGAGGTCGAACCTACAAATATCTCCGATAACATTTGCACATTCATCTGACCACTGCCTCAGCAAAGAGAACTGCCGCTTCAATAAACGGAGAGAAACTCATACTGAATCAGAATGTACAGCAATACAATTGAGGATCCCGCTTCGCACAGTACATCTGAGCAACATTTTAAAAAATAAGAATAACTCTTGGAGGGATACAGGACACAATGAAGGAATCAATCAGGGTGTCACTGGCAAAAACGGTCACTTGCAAACTATATTACTTAATGCTATATATTGCAATGTTGCATTTTAGCTGGAATGACAGCATGCAGAAACAGAAATAGTGTTTCCATGACTGCTAGGCTGCTAGAGTTCTTTGTTCTCTAAGAAGTGCACCTCACACTTTATTTGCTCACATGGGGTGAGCTTCTTCCCACGTGAAGGCTCTTCGGCCTTGTCACAGAGTCATGCTGCTTGGACCTCTTCCGCACTTTTCTTGTGCATCACTTACATGATTTCTGCACCCTTTCCCGTCGTCTTTTCTAGGTGAAAGTTTGCTTTCCGAAGCCCCTATCAGACTCCTCAGATCACTGCTTCTCTATCTGGTTTGGCTGGATTTACAAAGTGATGGGCCATGCAAGTTGATCGGAAACACACAGCAAACCTGGAAAACAACGCAGTCGCCTTGCAACTTCTAATGCAGCGTTGAACAAACTCCTGGACTCCGGGTTCCAATGAATCAGCGATTCTATATTTGAAGGGAATGCCCAGTTAATGAGTAGCTTTTGTGGCACATAAGGAGGCTTTCAAACACTTTTACCATCCTTGGATCCCACTCAAACGCTCTCAAATGCTTACATCCATTCCGTGTCCACTTAGGACTAAAAATGAAACACTGCCAGCAGAAAGCAACAGTAGCATACCATGAACCAAACCATACCCCATGGCAAAATCATGCACAGTCAAAAGCTTGTGCTGAAACAAGGAAGTCGTGGCCTCCACAAAACCTCAGGAAACCCCATTGGAAACGTTAATTACACCTGCAATCACCTTGACAAATATCAGATTGGACAGCTCAGCCGCTAAATGAGAAAACATACGTACCGGAAGGCGGCGGGTGAATACAAAAAATCCAAACGTGGGAGAGAGCGGCAACGATAACGATAGGTTCTGTGGCATCTGGAATGAGGCCTGCCGCAACAACCCGATATCCTCCGTCTCTGTTCCCAATACCTCATACATACAAACAAGTACGATGGGTCTCGCAAACGACCAACGACCAACTCCTCGTTGCAAACGTGGGTATAGGCCTGCACGCACCGATCTCGCTTGAAGCTAGCCTCACATCCATCACAAACAAAGCATGCCGGGCGGAGGGCCAGAAGAAACCTTGAACCAAGAGACCGAAATAAAGTGACAAAATTTACAAATTGAAACTGAGTTTTATATATACATAAAAAGAAACAGGTCCAGAACTCCGTTCCACATCTGGTCTCTCGAACCTCCATGCCAGCTGCGCAGCTCTCGCAGTCGGCAATCCGTGTGGAGCCTGCTCTGGACACCTCAACTCATGTCGTTAGAGAGGCTTTCGTCTTCAAACAAAGTGTTCATTGAAAGGATCAAAAACGCACAGCCTCGCTCGACAAACTCGGACATGGTTTAGGCGTTGGACTCGCGGTCCTTCCCGAGAGGCCTGTGTGTTGTCGGGACACCTGGATCGACAACACGTGGTGCCTTGACGTCTTTGATGAAGTTTCAATCTCTGAGGCGAAAGAACTTCTTGGTGCGGAAAATGTAACTAAGCAAAAAGAGAATGCCTGATTCATGTGCTCCCTTTATATCCCTTTATCCCTAAGGGAGCACGTGATTATCTGTCACATGATATCACGCCGTTTCACTTGTGAATTGCTCGATCGGCTTAAATGTTCAGCTCAAGGTCGAGGTGGCACTAGCCATCTGAGTTTAGAACTTTTTGAAGGTGTCGCATCCGTCACAAAAGTCTCCCGGCTCACACAGGATGCATTCGTAGATGCCACGCCAGGACAACTGCGCAAAAAGGTATTGACAATACAGATCTGTGATACATGGAAATGCAAACATGCAGAAACTAAATCTTTAAATTGCAAAATGTCTGAGTAAATTTGTCAGAATGATTGTCGTTTTAATCTCTCTCTATCTCTGTATACTGAATACTGTATAATTACTGTATACGGTATTGCTGTATACATTACATCCTCGCCTCAAGGTCTTTCTTTAGTCCATAGCAGGGTGCTTCATAGCAAGTCGCACAACACCTCGGTCTGTTTCTGCAATGAGCAGAGCAATCCATGCAGTCAAACGCGCCAAACTCCATACAGCAAAGAAGTGTTGAGTAAACAAGCTGTCCGCAGCCTGAAATAGCCAGGAGGGCATACTGGCTCGTAGCAAATGTCCTCACCATAGATGGGATCCTGCGAAAGAAACACACCAACACAAGCTCCAGATCCATCCCAAATCCAACAACAAACACCGGAAACACATGGAAAAACATAGAAAGGCATGAAGAAATACGAATACGATGATGTTCACATTCACATGAAAAACGTAAGATCGTGAATTATCGATTTCAAAACGTCTTGGTCCGGGCAACCGCAAGGCTCGGAGTCTGTGGGGCGAGGTGCCGCCGGAAAGACTTGGCCTTGGAAATATACTGTATCAAAAATGTTCAAACAAATGTTTCAACAAGTAAACACAAACGTTGTTGAAAAAATACAGTTTTTCTTATATGAAGACTTGGAAGCGTTTGTTCTTGAATTAGCCAAGTCAGAGATGCAAACCTGAGAGAAAACCACAAAAGTAGTGATCTGTCCCTCAATCGTGCTCAGTTCTTGGCCTCTGCCGAAGGTCAAGGAGTAGAAAAACACAAGTCGACCAAGCCGACCTGAGACAAATGGCACCGCCAACATTAACATTATGTTTTGGCCTCTGTCCGCTGGATTCAACAGCCTCAAGTCAAAAATATACAATCCTTTGATGTTCCAGGTCTTGAGGAGCTGACCGCGCATCGCATAGCATCTGCGGCCCTTTTGCTATGCTAGGATCCTCATCATTACTGAGCCAAACAATACAGTACTGTACAATTGGGTTCAATGTCAATCCCGCAGAAACCTAAAACATGGAATTCCAGTCCCACTGATGCAAATTTCATGGAACCGCGGTCTTCAGAACGAAAGAATGAGCACGCAACATGCGTTTGTGTTTGTAAGGATTGCAAACTTGCACGCTCGGCCGAAGGATTACACATGGGCACATCGGAACACACACCGCGTCAGGTTCAGGCATTGAAACAGTTTCCACTTGATCTGTTTAGTTCAGAACTCAAAGTGAGCTCCCACGGGCCCGCACGGGGGCATGTGTGTGTACACTGTGGAGTCATGAGTCACCTCTCAGCGAAGACACCCCTGCCACCACGGTGATATCCGGAGGGTGCACCTTCTGGACGCACCTGCTTGGTTGTGGCGATAGTGAAACAAAACGAGAAAACACGCGCCCGCTACTTTTCTGGACTCGGGCCACTGCAGTTCGGTATGGACATGTTAGTCCTGCAAACTTCTTACACTCCACCTTAAAGGAGCGGTGAAGTGAGCCGCTGCTTTACCGACCGTGCTGCAAGTACAACTGGGCGTAGTGCTCGAAGTTGTCGTCCCAGTCGCCCATGATCACGATCTTGCAAAACAAGCTGTAGTCGTGCTTCTCATCCACGGACCACTGGACGATGTGGTGTAGATCGAAGCCAGACGAGTTCGAATGAACTCCTTCAGCTGGTTCGTACTGAACAATCCAGCTTCAAACACGCGTCGAGCCCTTGGTTCTTCTTCTCGCTTCATGTACTTGAACCATATATGGAGCCTTCAGGGGGGACCCCCTGTGGTTATACCCTAGAATCATTACAAATGGTTCCTGGGGCATGCCACTTATTTCAAAGAATGATTCCTAGACGTGCCCACTAGAGTTGTTGTCACAACTACTGGACTCATTTGGGAGCAGAAAGGACAAGCACATTCGCCCCTTCGAACGCACATGGAAAGTGTGGATGTCCTTGTCAGTGAGGAGGCCCAGCAAGACATGGACCTCAAGTCTGCCTTTGTCCCTGCTGTCCCGCGCCAACCCTTTTTCCGTATCCTGCTCGGAGACCCCCGCCAAAGTCCTGGAGGTGTAGCCGACAACCTAAAGGGAGCACCGGACCCTCCTGCTCAAGGCCCCAATTGGCCTGCGAGCGAAGAATAGATGGCTGATGCCACAAGAACTGCCGAAAATTGCCTGCAGCCTGCTCAAAGAGAGCGGTGAAGCCTCACTACAAGAGCTCACGCAAGCAGCAGAAGAAGTCAGTCGCAAAGCGTTAGGGTCAGGATGGTACTCCCGTGAGGACTGTCCTAGCACCATGCCGGCTGGAGTCAACCTGCAAGCAGCGTATCCAGAGCTCCGTCGCATCCAGCTAGACACTCCGGAAGGCCTGATTGCTGGCCTCGGCTATGCTCTAACGCGCCCGGACACATGTTTCAGTTCCACCAGGCCAGTACGGCTGAAGAACGCTCTGGTTTGGCCGGGGTGCACCAATGGAGCATTATGCTTCCGACAAGTGCAAGGGTAGCTCAAGAGGTGTATGAACCCCTTATTGGGATTCATTATCCCATGCTCTGTAACGTGAAGAATGGCACCTGGCAAATAGGCACTAGCTCCATCCGCGCAGAAGATCAGCTGGCTACAGGATTCCGCTTTGTAAACTGGGTACACGATGCCTCGGATCCGGAGGTAAGGGCTGTTCCGACGCCGGCTGCCACCAATGCAGTCTACCGGCAAATTGAGCAATGGCTCCCAATGACAGACCGAGAAACCGACAATGTACTTGCCCTGACAACTCGAACGCTCAGTGCTCAGCACCTGCAAGGCTTTTTTCAGCAGTCGGGTCGGAGGGCCAATGCGGAGACAGCAGTCAAAGTTGCTGGCGCAACAGCCAAGCACTGTGTAGTCTTGCATGGCAGATCCGCCTTTCTCAGTGGTACCTCGCGAGGTAATGATTACGACCACGAATGCTACACACGTGCCAATGTAGCGTACAGCAGAGCGACTGACTTGACGGTCTCTGCATGCCCGGTCAACCTGCAGGGGGCCACAGGCATGTCACAAGTTCCATCTGCCCTGCTGCACGGAGTCTGCACTGTGTACACAAACGACCAGCAGACATCCAAGGCCTTTGCCCAGGGCGAATTCCCAGTAAAATGGAAGTGGGTCTCAGAATCCACGGCTGACTTTCTTGCTGCTATGGAGCCACAACCACTCTGGAATGGATCTCTTCCTGTCTGTCTTGTCGAGTATCACCAAGGGCTCTCCCGACGGCTCAGGCTGGTCCTTACGTGGCAATCTCACCTCACTAGAGGAGAAAAGGAACTACTAGACCATCACCACCCAGTGCACGGAAGAATACACAGTAGTGGCCTACTGTTCGGCTATGCAGCTGACCGGTGCACTGAGCCAGATTGGTATGTCCTGCCAGATGGGCACCTGCCAGATGCCTGGAAGCTGATCCATGCAGCACGTAAGGAGGGTGATCGCTTCTGCGTGGGAAGGGAAGCACGTTATACCTTCAGGCAAGCTGATGACGCTGCCAACAAAGCCAAGGATTATAGCTTTGAGTCCCTCCACAAAATCTACTTTTATGACGCGTGGAGATTGGTAATCGAGCTGAATCAACCTGACTCCCTCCTCCGCCTTCCCCCTCGGCCAGGACTCCTACAGAATGGCTGCTACTGGCAGCGCTTGCCACTGCGCAATGATGACGCCGACCAGTCACATGACCCTCCTGCTAGGACGATCCAAGCCGAAGTCAGCCTCACGGAAACTAGCTCTGCAGAAGGCGTAGACGATGCATCCCTGAGTGAAGTACCGAAGCCGGCTGGCCCGGATCATGAAACTGAATCCCCAACCTCCCCAATTTTAATTGGCAGCACAGAAGAAGAGCAAGCAGACTCTCGGAAGAATGCAACAGAACCCTCTGCAAACGAGTCGCCCGTCGAGACAATTGTCTCTGCTAGTGAAGAGGCTGTATCCAATGAGTTACACAAGAAACGGACAGGACTCAGGAGCGGAGGCTGCCAATAGACGTTGCGATGGTGTCCCGGTCTTGTTGTGATGGTGTCCCGGTCTTGTTGTGATGGTGTCCTGGCGCCTGCCCACGGCATGGGAGGCAGCCACCAATCAACAGCAAGTAGGAACAAAACGGCCTGCGCCTAGCACTCCTCTTGACGAAGCGGAGGACCAAAGGAAACCCTTAGAGAGCACAAGAACTGCGGCAAATACTAATCACGAGGTTGAGAGTGGTCACCTGTGTGGCTGCCCTCTTGTGCCTCTATCTGAAAACAGTCCTGTCACCCCTCCAATAGAGGAGGCAAAGAGACGTAGCAAATGGGCATCTAGTCCGCCTGCAGTCTCTGCAGCCCCGCCACTAGGCGTGGATAAGACAAGGCGATCTGCCGCTAGCCCAGATAGCCCAACCAGCCCGGCTCGCAGTGCAGGTAAAGGTGTGAACGAGGCCCCTGCCCCACAGGCAACAGCGCGGCCCAGGATGCAAGGGCCTCTTGCAGTCAAATCCAAGGCGGCCAAACCAGCTGAGTACCCACAGGGACGGGTTACAGAGCAGGGGATGATTGATGCAATCCAGTCTCGACTACACACACCGCTACCGCCTGACGCAGGTCTGCTGAGCATAGCGGCGGCAAGGTCAGCTGCAACAGCAGCCACTAATCCGCAGATGCCAGTTGCGGATACAAATGACCCAGAAGTGCACACATCAACCAAGGAGGAAGCCCCCGCAATAGAGATTTTTCTTGAAGAGGCAGATGACCAGTCGGGACCAGTTGATGCTGACATAGCCCACCTAGCAGAGCAGAGAGCTATGCATTCGCTGCTTCGTTACCAAACGCAAGCAGTGAAGCATAGTACCCACACTAGTACTAATTCTGCAGACGCAACCACGATACTGCCGCCAGCGGCGGCCCCCAGTGAGCCTTTATGCCAACCTGCCACAAGAGTGGCCCCTGGCGCGTCTTAGTGTTCAGGTACGCCGCATCAGTGTGCTGCTGAGGGTTACCCTTTACCGCCGAGTTGCTGAGCTTAATTTCCGCGGAGTCGACTTTCGGACACTGCCGCGTGAGGTAATGAGGAATATCGTTTATGACTTCAACAACATTGGTGGGGAGTTAGCCAGACGTCTCGCGTCACTCTTTGCTTTCCTCAAACCAGACACAAGTGCTGGCACACAAGCGGACACACTGGGGCTAGCGCTCTACGCTGACCCTGCCTATTGGCTATATGGACTCTTGTCCTATTGTGCCAAGGCCTGCGAGTCCAAAATTGAAGAAGCCAATGGGACCCCTGTATGGAAAGCAAAAGAGGAGGGAGGCACACCAGACATTGAAGCCACAGGCAAAACTTTGGCGCTCATGCAAACAGTCGTAATGTCCTTTGGCCGCAATCAAAGCCTAGGCAAGCCAGACCTCCCTATCCATCATATACATGTCTACTTCCCGGTCCAGTTCGTGCACAAGCTGGTAGCACGCATGAAGACAGACTTGCTCTTCACAGAAATCACTCCAGAGGACGGAAAAGAGTATAAGCATAATAGTGAAAGCGAAACCAACA